TGTAAATTTAGAGGGGTTCTGAAATATCCATTCAAAAGAATCACCGGAAGGATGAAAAGCAATTACTTTCGATAGTGGTATTATTCAAGTTAACGCAAAAAATACACTTATTATGTGGGATTAACTCCTAGTTACACCCTGACAAATCACGAATAAATGAAAATCGTGTATGAATGTGGTATGAATCATGAAATTTGGGGCTAATATAATTCACTCATCGTCTTGCATTCTCCCATGTGAATAAATAATCTTGCTGATGTTGAAATTACCCCTTGAAAAACCTAAACTCATTGAAGAATGGATAAAAATTGTGTATATAATACATTGGAACATATACAGGGTGATCAGAATTCTGAATCTTGGAGCACTTTTTCCAACTAAATTCCAGTAGGTAGTGAATCAGAAGTTAAGACAGGGACATGTGAGCCGTTTTGATCGATAATGAATAGTATCTACACAAAACAATCATAAAATTGAAAAATTCCGATTTTGAACACCCTTTATCTCTGTAATCATACCTGCTATACCCCAAGTGTGATACATTGATGAAATCAGCTCTTCAGGAAGAATCTAAAAAAACAATAAAAAACAGGGTGTTCCATTTGAAATAACAAAGTTGCTAGTTGTTTCTGATAGAAGTGGCAACACTGTATCGATGAAAATATTTCAGACGGATATAGAATGTTCAATTATCAAAGCATTCCAATTTTCAGAATGTTCTGTCTTTTCGTTCTCCAGATACTTCTAATAGGCCATCCACCGTAAACATAAAATTCAATATCCAAGTAAAAATTTTGTGCACAGAAAAATATTGAGTAAATATCTTGATAGATGGCGCCACTAGCGCTCCTTCGACGCTCGTCTCTCGACTGCCTTCAAATAGTATCAGCTCAGAGATGTTTTGTAAGTCTCAACTCTCACTACAATGGAGTATTTGATACACTGAATACTTGTGGTATTATATCAAAGTCAATATTCAATACTCAGATGCAGACAAGAAAGCACCGCTCCTCAGCGTGTTAACAGTCAATAAGTGTGTTGTCACAACAGAAAAATATCCGGAAAATATTCGCATATCATAATATTATCAGTTAAAGCAAAAACGCAACAAATACAGTGTCAAAATAATCACCAAATGATTGTATAGTACACCACTTTGGTGTTGAATAACACGAACTGATCAAATTAGCACTGGGTACCCTAATGTAGTTCTTGACTGTTTGTAAGAACGAATAACACCCTATGATGGTGTTGTAAATATCAGTGTTACTTCTCACCAAAATTATCAGGATCTCAGGGGTGTTAGCTGGTGTGAACTGGTGTTATTTTTTTTTTCCACTGTGTAAATTCGCTATTTTTCGAGGCAGAAAATGAAAAAATCTAGTCTTGAATGTTGAATCTCACGTGTATCCTTTCTTGTTTCAAAATTCTTGAGAGGAAGTGGAACATACTAAACCAGCAAACATTGATTACAGTAAACATAGGATCGTGGAAAACACCTTAGGAAAAAATATCTCCATATTTTTCTTTATATTCCACCGAGTATTTCACGATACTTATTCGTTATTCGTTATTCGTTCCAAATCAGGATTTCATCAAAATCTAATAATTACCTATGAATTTACCATCGGTAAGGTTGCCATTCATCATTAGTTCTGGTACGTTTGATTTCTTATTATTACTCAACTCCAACATTGTGTCACTGTTTAAGAATGTGAAGTGAAGGAACCACAGGAAGGAACGTTTTGGAAATATCAGAATTGAAATAAATTAAATATTTCTAAACTAGAAAGTCTATAGTAACCAGTAATAATATTCAAGCGGTGAAGCCTCATCATAAGGCCAGCTTGCCAGCTGCTGATTATGATGCTAGACTATAAGGATTGAGTCTCATGTCATTTATTCATGAAAATCCATTTCGCCCCAATAATTCATTAAGGATAACAAGGATGTAAACTTACATCTTATTGGCTACGTCCAGGGGCGGATCCAGGCGATATTTGAGGGGAGGGCCATTGGAAGTCAGGGCTCATTGATAGCAAAAAAAAAAGGAATTTTCATTGGTGACTTCTGAAATCATTTTTTTTTCAGATAGATTGTTTCTACTAAACGTGAAATAATATTCATTTTTCTTTTAGAATCAACATTCATGTTTCGAAAAAAAAATTGAGTTCAAAATATTCGATCCAATTGTAAGAAACAGAAACGCGAAAGAAATTACTTATCAAATCCTATGAGTGCGCTGTGATCAATATTTTTTCAAATTCCAACTGAGAGCGACTGATATTATTTTTGGTAAAGATATGGCAATATACCGGGTGACACAGACTCATGGTCTACCACCCTTTTCTCCTTTGATTTTCTAGCTATATTTCTGAAATTTGATTCATTGAATATGCTCACGAGGCTGCAGTTTCTCACATTTTAGGATTTTTTTTCATTGTCCGGTTTTCCTGGAAATGACATCAACTGTCGAATTTCAAATGGAACACCCTGTATTTCATCCCATAATTGGTTAGGAATCATTATAACGAATTCAACAATACCGGGTTCGATTGGGTTATTTCAAACGATTACGAACGAACTTTCCATATTATGCTCAATGGGTGTGACGGCGCAAAATGGAGACTTCTTTCTCTGTCTTTTCTTCTCCCAATCTCTTGTTCCCAGGGTTTTTCTATTTCCAAAAATTTTAGTTGGTTCCTTGTCAATGCCCTTCAATAGTTTTATGTATAATTGACATTGACTTGTGTCACTCTTCGGTGTCATCACTTAATTTCATTTGTATTTAATGTGTTATTGTTGACTTGTGTCTTGTGATTTATGATTTCTCTGGTTCTTTGAATTCCGTCGTAGCTTCCTTTTGCATTATAACTTGATGAATCTCACGTGATGGAATTTTAAAATTTTTTGAGATAATTGTTCTAATGTAGGTACTCTTTCAATAATCGAATGCGAGATCAAATGTTAATCGGGTTTTACTATACCTTTTTCAGATTTCAAACCTATGTCGAATAACAGTACTGATGATAATCTGAACTTTGACCTATCTAGACTAATAATTTGTTCAAAATGTATTGCTGAGGTTAGTACAACTTTGACCGAGACTTTGACTCTGTCTCCAGCCAGAAGTCCTATTACGGCTAGGCTACCCTTAATCGGCGGTCTCAGGACTGCTGGCTGGAGACTGCCCTGCACTGATGAGAGTCAAAGAGCTCGAAACCGGTCTGTAGGTGTCTAGCGTGGCCTAGCTAATTCGAAATCAATAAGCATTCAGGAAAGAATCACTTGTATCAGTATCTGATGGAATTCCACCCATTATCCTCAAAGAATGTGCACCAGGATTAACACCGATTCTCTGCAAGTTGTTTACCATCTCGTATAGGTCGGGTATTTTTCCATCATGCTGGAAGACAGCTAGAGTCCAACCAATCCCCAAAAAAGGGAACAAGAACCTGCCCAACAACTACAGGCCCATTGCCCTGTTATCAGTAATCTCCAAAGTGATGGAGAAAGCCATCAATATTGAGCTTATCAAATATCTGGAGAGCTCAGGAATCATCAATGATAGACAATACGGCTTTCGCCACCGAAGATCTACTGGAGATCTACTTGCCTACGTCACCCATTTATGGCAATCTTCAATAGAAAAACACGGGGAATCTCTGGCTGTCGCGTTGGACATATCGAAAGCATTCGACCGTGTTTGGCACGAAGGACTCCTCCACAAACTACCATCTTACGGCTTACCACCTCAGCTATGCCATCTCTTATCGAGTTTTCTTTCAGGCAGATCGCTTCACGTGGTGGTGGACGGTGTATCGTCTGATACCATTGGCATCAATTCCGGCGTTCCACAAGGATCAATTTTGGCACCAACATTATTCCTGCTTCATATCAATGATCTGTTGGGAGTAACAACTTGCCCCATCCACAGCTTTGCAGATGATAGTACCCTCCATACTGCGTTCTCTTCCAGAATTCCCATTTCTTCCCAGGAAACTAAGAACTCACGGCGCAGGCAGGTCAATGCTGTCAATGAAGATCTTGCTGAAATCACAGCCTGGGGAACGAACAACCTAGTTGAATTCAACGCCACCAAAACTCAAGCCTGCATTTTCTCTAGAAAGGCGGAACTCAGTATGCCCGATATTGTAATGTCTGACTCCACCATCCCCACCAAGCCCACCATATCTATGCTCGGTATTTCCATCAGCAACACTCTTTCATGGGATAATCATGTCAGATCCATCGCAAGAACTGCTTCACAAAAACTCGGATTCTTGTTCCGTGCGAAAAGCTACTTTACACCTCAACAGCTTCTCATGATCTACAAAGCGCAGATACGGCCTGTTCTAGAATACTGTTCCCACATATGGGGTTCAGCACCAAAACATACGCTGATGCTCTTAGATTCCATCCAGAGAAGAGCCATTCGCCTGGTGGGTGACGCCACACTCACTCACTCTTTGACATCATTGGAACACCGTAGAAAGGTCGGCGACCTTTCACTTTTCTATCGATACTTCCACGGGAAATGTTCTTCGGAAATCTCTGCAATCATCCCTTCACTAGCAATACCAATCAGACGAACTAGACAAGCCCAGTCAGCACATCCTTTCGTCGTCAACCTCGAAAGATGTCGAACAGCACTTTATCAAGACTCCTTCATCAATAGAACGGCTAGGCTCTGGAATTCATTGCCTGTGGAAGTATTCCCAACAACATATAATCTCCAAAAATTTGAAAAAAAATTCCAATACCTACCTCCTGTCCATATCCTCCCTAGGAATGCACGATGTTCTTTGAACATTCTAGGGATTCCCATTCGTGCGCTCCAATCGATAAAAAAAAATTCGTTTATTCGAATCGATGCGTAGATTTCGGGAGGATGAAATTCAATGTTCTGCGTGGCGGAAGCCAGGAAAGTAGTTGTTTTTCTCCCGAAATCTACCATTGTTGTTCATATTATGAACATTGTGTGGACATGACTTTGAGCTTTCGTATTTATGTTCTTTTTGGTTTTTCAGGTGTGGGGGCTTGACCATGTCCCACCACAGCGACGACAATATGCTGATAGCCACCAGCGACTCCTTCTGGGAGCCAGGCAACTACAAGAAAACCACCAAACGAATAGAAGACGGCTACAAGCTGTGCCAGGAACTGATAACCCTAGTATCAGAACGTGCTGAGATAGAAAAGACGTACGCGAAGGCCATGAAAGCGTGGTCGAAGAAGTGGAACGACTCCATTGAAAAAGGGCCTGAATACGGAACTACTGAGGCTGCGTGGAAAGGGGTTTTGGTGGAGGCTGATCGAAGGTGCGATTTGCATTCTAGGATCAGGGATACGTTGACCAACGACGTGTTGAATAAGATCAAGCAGTGGCAGAAGGATACCTACCATAAGGTGAGAAGATCAGGTTCATTCAGGTTCCGATTTCTTATCCTATAACTGTTTTTAATGGTTCACACATTATGAGAACCCGAGCGCTGTAAAAGAGAACCTCTGAGAACTTAACCTCTATTATTAAGAATTTGCAAAATAACAACCGTTTTTATATAATCTATAATCTATCCAGTGTTGGCAAATATCATGATATTTATATATATATATATCAAAATATCAAAATATCATAATATCGGATATATATCCGATATATATCAGAAATTTCGATTTTGCTCCTAGGCTGATATGCCAAAAAAAAACACAATATAAAATACCTTTATTTTGGTAAAAACAAAAATCAAACTTCAGTTTAATTCTCGGCTTAATTTGAAATAACAAAACACGAAACAAAAAATAATATTTTTCCGAAAATATGTAATATATGGTAATATAAAAAACTTGTCGTTTGATAAATTTTTAAGGAATGCAAAACCGAGAAAGAGGAATATAATCATCATTATCAATATTATCATCTTCACTCAAGGCAACTAATTCATCATTCGACGAGATCCAGTCCAAGCTTTTGGCTTTTTTATCTGTATTTGGGTTTAAACATTTAAAAATAAATACTAGCTTATTGGCTTTTTCGTTGCCTTGACGATTTCTCAATTTAGATTGAACTATTCCAAAACTCGAAAAAATTCTTTCTAAACCAGCTGTTGCCGCTACTGCACTGAATAACTGCTCACATAGTTGTAAGAAGAGTTCTTTTTTTGGCCATTCGGAGTCAGGAATTGCAACCGATTTCCACCAAATCATTGTATGCGTGATGTACCATGTATGTACCTAGCAAGCAGTAAACAAAAACCGGGGATTTCCCGAGTTGTAAGTTCTAACCACGAAACGCATTGTTGTCACGTATTCATTTTTAACGCAAAATCTCAAGGACTTTTTGTTCCGGTATTTATTTTGTTAAAAAGAAGTAAATGATATATATCATGATATATATCAATCAACAATCAATAAATATCAGATATATATCATGATACATATCATGATATATATCACTTGATATATATCGGCCAACCCTGAATCTATCTGCCAAATATCTAAATGAAGTTGATTCATATTGCTGGCAAACCATAAAAAGGCCAGAATACATTTGTCACTACTTTTTCGTTTGAAGCCTGTATCTTTATTGGAATAATATATACAGTGAGCGGCAATATTATGGAACAAATTCATTCAAAAGTCAGGCCTGTTTTTCTTGGGAAAACGCTCGGACAGATCGATTTTAATTTTTTCTTACGGTTTCAATGTTAGTAGATTCATTTATACAGGGTGGCTCAAAAATAAGTTGCGAAGTTCCAAAAAGTAGAGTTCAGAACCTAGTTCAACTAGACGACCCTTCGATGTTCAATTCTCAGTAGAAGATTTCTGCAAGATTCAGTTAACCAAATGATAATCCATTTTAATTTCAATCAAAATTTTGACTATTGGATAGACGATCAGTAGACCTTCCAAACGAGGTGACATATGACCCCTGTTTGTATTTAAAAAAACCGTCCAATACGTCATTACTCTAACACCGGTGACGTAACATCTCTGATATGAATGTTATGAGATGAGGTTTCAAAAATTGAAACTCACGTGTTTTTGGAATTTCTCCAAATGTCGCCCATTCCTGAAATAATGAATTTATTCCATACATTTGCATCATATTGTATATGGCTGGCGTATGTTGAATTTTTTTTCTTTTTCAAAAAATTCTTCTTATGTTCATTAATGCGCTGATTAAACGTACGACCTGTCTGACCGATATACAGGGTGTCCCTAGACCAGTGGGACAGTTGAATATCTCCTGAACCAATAGAAATTTTCAAAATATTATGATTTCACATCATATCGAATTATGAGTGCTAACTTCAGGAATGACTATATTTTATACGAGGGGCGCAAGAAAGGCTCACAAAATCGAACATCGATTTTTTCAAATGGAACACCCTGTATTTCATTGCATTTTCATATTCTCCTTGATTAGCTGAATTCAACGACCTATCACACTTGGGGTCTAGCGGAAATGATTTCCGAGATATAGGGTGTGGAAAATCGAGTTTTTTCCTTGTTGGGGGAATTTTTTGTGTCAAAACTATTCATTATTGGTCAAAACGGATTACATGTCCAGATCTTAATTTTTGATTTACTATTTACTCGTATTTAATTGAAACAAATACAGGGTGGTGTAGAATTCTGACTGAAACTGACGATTCTACACCACCCTGTATTTGTTTCAATTAAATACTAGTAAATAGTAAATCAAAAGTTCATATCTGGCCATGTAATCCGTTTTGACCAATAATGAATAGTTTTGACACAAAAAATTCCCAGAAATGAAAAATCTCGATTTTCCACACCCTATACCTCGGAAATCATTCCCGCTAGACCCCAGGTGTGCTGGGTGTGAACTCAGCTCATCAAGGGGAATATGAAGATGCAATGAAATGCAGGGTGTACATTTGAAAAAATTGATGTTCGATTTTGTGAGCCTTTCTTGCGCCCCTCGTATAAAATATAGTCATTCCTGAAGTTAGCACTCATAATGCGATATGATGTGGAATCATAATATTTTGAAAATTCCTATTGGTTCAGGAGATATTCAACTGTCCCACTGGTCTAGGGACACCCTGTATAACTTAGGTCAAGATCCACAGTTGACTTTGTATACCCCTGATTTTTTGAATTCAGAAGTTTTGTCTTCATTATTTTTGATAAACCTTCCCAAAGTGCTATTTGTTCTATAGGTATGCTACGTTTAAGTCCTGTTTATGTGGAAATGAATCTAATTTTTCAGTTGATGATCCGAAATAGGTTAAAGTTCTATAATTTTGATTATTATTCCTGATTCAGATTACTAGGTACTGTGTTAGCAAAACATGTTGTGTGTTTAAGAATTTTGTGGAAATCTTATCGTTTGTGAAGTTCTTACATTTATCATGGATTTCCATCAAGTAACGGCCGAGTCAATTCAAAATATTCTCTCTTCCTCTCAATCTCAATGTTGGATGAACTTTCCTATAGTGGCATTCTGATAATTATGTTCCAGTTGAATTCAATGGATGCATGGAGCGTTAAGTTTTATGCCAGAGTAGATTATTAAATTGTGTGCGTGCGATAAATCTCATTGAACATCCTTCTAATTATTGATATTAAGGCATTTATAATCTGTAGTTGTCTGCACTCTACGTTATAATATGGAATAAATCTTATGAATAAGTCAGGTTAATGATAAACAATAAGATCATCATGAACAAAGAACCACAGTTAGTTCAAAATGCAATATATTTAAGTATAATGTTAACCGTCCAGTTTACTTCATCAAATGGATATTCTTACCCACAGAATGAATAATTTATTGGCCTAAAGGACCCCGCACAAAATCATAGGGAATTGGCCCACAGTGGGATTTGCCTGAAATTCACCTATGTTATTGGTATGGAGTTTCTGATCAAATGTCTTCATGTGACCAATCCTCTAAGACCAAAGATTTAGCTCTCAGGGCCGTATTTAGTATAGGAGCCAAATAAACAATGACACTTTTTTTTTCAAGCCCATGATTTTTGTATCTCCCATTATAATTTAATTGAATGAGAAATGTTGCGAAATCTTGGCATTTGTCTTTTAGCACAAGTTCTCTGTAAAACATGCCTTGTCCTACAGGACCGTATTTAGTAAAACTGTATTTGCCAAAGTGCCGAATCGAATTGATTTTGTTATTACTTTCTTATTTCTTGTCCTATTTCAGTGGTTGTTTGATAGATGAATGTAGATTTCTTTGTGCACATAACAGAAGTGGTCACCATCTGAATATTCATGATGGCCGGCCTGACATTTAATCTCTATGTAGGACATATCTCGTAGCTTCTTAGGAATCATAGAAGTTCAAAAAAATTCCAATACCTACCTCCTATCAATATCCTCCCTAGGAACGCACGATGTTCTTTGAACACTATAGGGATTCCCTTTCGTGCGCTCCAAGCGATAAAAAAAAACAAAACAGGAAAAGATGAAAACACGTTTCGATCGTTGAAATCGGTAATTTTCTTTTTCAATTACCTAACTCTATAATATAAATATAACTCTACTATTGATTGATTGAAACTTCATCTAATTCATTACAACAAAGTTGAAACCGATATTTACAGGATGGTGAACAAAAAAGTCGAGCAATCACTATCAACAAAATTCCCGAACACTTACAGCTGCTGGAGTATTGCTTGCATCTTGCACTGGATGATTAGCGGCATCTTTAATATGCTGTAACACAGAAGTCGATGGATAATTCACATTTTGATTATGGCTGGCGAATCCTAGATATCACAATATGCTACAAATATGAGCACATGTTCATAGTGTCCTTGCCCCTGATTTGCAACTGCAGTAGTATCCTATTATCAATACATCTTCTTCATTATTATCGTCAGGTTGGTTTCCATGCGGAGTGTATTGAATAAATACTTGATATTTTCCTCTCCTCCTGAATCGAGAATACACTCTGAGTCTTCTGAATCCAGGTTCATTCACTCTGAGATCAATTTCAAACGACTCATGATCATCTCTAAGTATTCTGTCTTGGACATGGTTATCTCTAGCAAATCTGGTTCTTAGTGATAATTTCACTTTGCTAATTGCTAAGCTCACCGACTGTCTTGTAGTAAAGGATCTTCAAAAATTTGTCAGATCAGCATTGTTTTAACTTACACTAAAATGTTAAAAGCTCTCTAATCGACGTGGACTATGGCAGCAACTTAATAATGAGTATGTTTCTCGATTTCCACACCTATCTATGGAGAACTTGAGAAACGTGACTTTTGGAACATATCAAATCAAATTATCAGCGTCCTATGTCCAAGACAGAATACTTAGAGATGATCATGAGTCGTTTGAAATTGATCTCAGAGTGAATGAACCTGGATTCATTTGACTTAGAGTGTATTCTCGATTTAGGAGGAGAGGAAAATATC